AAGGATAAGAAAAATTGGTCCAACGTAGGCTCCACCCCCCGGGAGTCACACAGTGAGAGGAACCCCGTCAGGTATGAATGACTATTGGGGGTTAGCTGGCAAGGAGCGAGGCCCACAAACCGAAGGTATTGCACGATGAAGGGGTGGAGCGGAAACCGGAGGCCTAGCTCCACCGAAAGAACATGGACAGCGAAGCAGCCCTCAGGGGGGCTGGACAACAAATCCTCCGGTCCCGGTTCCACCACTTGGGCCGAGGGCCCCACAAGGAGCTGCGTGGTTTGATAATCCGTAGGCGTGGCGGTTGTCTCCAGGTCAAGGGCGTCAGTATTGAGGTATGAATGGCCCTCGGGAATCCCCACCGGCTGTCCCGCATCGACGGCGGCCTTCTTCTTCTTGGGGGGACCACGCACCTTCTGTTTCCTCTTTTTCCCGGAGGCCACTCGGATAGGGTCCGGGTTAAGAGGCCGGGAGCTACCCGCTTCACCAGCATCCCGAGGGGGCATGACAGCAACCGTGACCTGTTGCCTCTCCTTCTCTTCTTCTTCCTCTGCTACCTGAAGTGCGAGGGCCATCTCTTCGTCCTCTGCCAATTGCTCAAACTCCTCCGCCTCAAGCTCCACCCGAAGGGTACTCTGCACCTCTTGGGCCACTGCTAAATCATCATCAGCCGATGACTGTCCGCTGAAGGACCCCACCTCCGAGATGCTCTCAGACTGTTGCATCGAGGGCTCCCTCGAGATATCTTGGGAGTCGCTTTGTAATGACATCTTCTCGAGGGCTAACTAAGGATTTAGATGAGTTTAAACAATCTAGCTGAGGGCCCCTAAAGTCCCTAACGCTTAATCTAAGGACAATGAAGCAAAACCTACTAAGGAGCTACAGAACGGGGAAAGAACTGACCTTCGAAAGGTTGAGTTTGATCAAAAGTAACTTTCTCTCTCTAGAAAATTCGGCAGAGCTTCGCTAGAGCTTATGAACGCACAAGGAGGACTGAGCTCTGCCTTGGAGTATTTATAGGCAGATGGGCCTCGAGAACTGGGCCTCAACTCGAAAGCCCATCATTACAGGCCGTCGGTTCGACCAATGGGTGACCCCCGCCCACCGTCAGCCAACGCCAGCTAGCCACGTCAACCCCTCTTCCAACGGCTATATCAAAACGGCTATATATCGGAAACAATGGAGTGCCCTCGAATGATAGCCTCCGATTATCGCCCTCCGCGGCCCTCAGACAACGAATTCCACCAAACGCCTTCGAGCCTGCGGCAGCGTAAGCCCCCGGCTTGTCAATATTGTCACCCCTCGGGTTTGCATCAACACATCATAACTCCTTCAGCCCGAACTTGCCTTCGGCCTAAAGGAGTGGGGGACTGGGATACACCCCTCGGGAATCACACATGACTAAAACAAAAATTCCCTCATGCAAAATTTACAATTGACGCATGCAGCCACCGGGCAAACATCAAAGTGGAACCCCTCGGGTACAAACCTCAATGTACCCGTCGGCAGAAAACAAACATCAAAATTTGACTCGTTGCACTTGTAGTAGTGAAGCAGCCCTCACCACAGCACATGCGGGCAATACATCTGTACTTCCCTCAGAAAACCCTCGACATGTGAGGGACTGAGGGGAAGCCTTCGGCAATCAACAGAAGGCAAATTCTCAAACAAAGGTGCCCAACTAAATGATGGAGCCCTCAGAAAAATCAACACATCTACTCCTTTACCCTCAAGTACCTTTCAGCAAAAGGAGTGAGGGACTCCTGATGGAGTATATGGCCCAGGAACCCCCGGCCCATAGACTCCTACTTCTCCTACACAAGTCCATTGAGCCCAGAGAACAACTCGGACCCAAGTGTAACGGCCCAAACCTCAAAATAGCTCAGAATACACACTGGGGTGCCTTCGGCCTCCTTGGCCGAAGGCTCCAAAACTCACAGAGTAGCCTTCTCTGGCATAAGAAGCTACTGGGAGAAAACGGCGAAAAACATGAGCCTTCGGCATTATCAAGCCCTCGGCATCCGAGAAGCCTTCGGCTGAACCAAGCCTTCGGCCACACGAGGCCTGCGGCTGCACAGGGGTCCTTGGTCACATGGAGCCCTCGGCCACACAAGGAGCCTTCGGCCAAACATGCTCAATCATCGAAGATTCCTTTTGGAGACAGCCAACCACCGCATTTAGTGTCACGTCACATCCACCAACCGCATTCAATGCGGTGAACGTACCACTGCCGGTGCCACCCGGCTGATGTGACCCTTCGGCCGTTGGATTACTGACATGTGTATTCTCATCGCATTTATTGCTGCTATAAATAGCAGTCCATTTCTCCTTGTAAACGATCCCAGATCCCAACTCGACACGCTGAGTTCATTTAATAAATCAATTCTCTCTCCTCCTATTTTGCTCTGACTTCCTCTCTAGTTATTCCCGCAATAACCCCTCGGATAAGATACCCCCCGGGTAGACTAACCATCAATTACTATTATGCTTCTTTTTTTCCAACTCAAGAGTTCGATGATAATCACATAGACCCTAAACAAGAACACAACGAGGTTAGTAATTTATTTCATCAATTGTATAATGAATTTCATGCACAATATGGTAATGCACCCCCTCCCATGCCGCGAACATCTTCTTCATCTAAAGGAAAATCACTTTTAAAATCAGCATTTGGTTCTTTTTTGAAAAAAAGTAGAGCAACTCCCGCTACTGAACAAAGCTCAGTTAACGAGCTTTTTTTGTATCTAACATTGAATGTTGATTATGAAGTTGGGGATGACTTTGACGTTCTTAAGTGGTGGAAGGAAAATGAAAGAACGTTCCCGATTTTATCAAAGATGGCTAAGCAAGTGCTAGCAATGCCGATATCAACAGTTGTCGTGGAACAAGAATTTATTGCGACCGGCAACGTCCTAACCGATTATAGAACGAGGTTGAGCCCGAGCTCTCTTGAGACACTAGTTTGCTTCCACGATTGGTTGAAGGCCCAACGAAGAACTCAAGAAATGACCATCGCTCCCACCCGCCACTTTATGGAGGAAACAACTACCGAAGGCGGAGATTCCGATTGATTATTTATTACAAAATTTATTACATTTATTAAATTCATCCTAATTCTCAATTGTACTTCTTATTTGAAATAAGTGTACTTGAATTTTTTTATATTATTGTGTACATCAATTCAATAATCAACAAAAAAATTATTCAATAATCAATTCAATAAAATTAATTTGTAAACTTGTACTTCATATTTCAAATAAATATGCGTTCATTTTTTCATATGTAGCACTTCTCAAATTAATTAATTGGTTACAAACTTACAACTTAAAATTATTTTTCTAAAATCTAAAGGTTGTTTTTAAATTAAAAATACATTTACAATATGTAATTTGTTTAAATACTTATACACCTATTTTGTAACATTTGTAAATTATAAATCAAACCACTTTTCTAAGTAAAAATAGCTTTACTTAATTCATTAAATTAATTAACTTATTTTACATTATGTATAATTTTCAAAAAAAAAAGTAAAAAAATTTAAAAATACAAAACAGCTCCCAAACGGCTATATAGCCGTTGGGGATTTGGGTGGGGGGCAGGGGGGGTCCCGGGGGTGGTGGTGTGGGGAGTGGGGTTCAAAAAAATTTATAAATACATCTATTTTCTACCATTGTCTACACCTCTTCTCCAACTCTTCTCCATCTTCATCTTCTCTTATTATCCTACATTCCTACTTATACATCTACCATTTTAAAGATGGAAAGTAATTCTTCCCTTATGCAAAACAATTTTGATAAGTAGAAGGACCCGAAGACCGGACTGTGGTGAGCAACTTGCAAGTGGTCCAAGAAAGAGTGTTGCTTGGGGCGTTCACACGGAGTCGGGATGTCAATAAAACATATGAAGTCTTGTGACAAAGGCAAAACAACAACCAACGGTGGCGGAAATCCCAATTGATATTTATTAGAAAATGTATTTCATATTGTTATTTTTTTCTCAATTCTCAAATGTAGTTTCTATTTCAAATAAATGCACTTGAACTTTGATTTTAATAAGAATTTGTATAATCTATAATTAAAAAAAATTAACAGGCCCGGCCCGGCGGGTGGCCCGACCCGTGACCCGGGCGGGTGACCCGGCCCGAACCGGCACCGGCCTTAACCTGGGCCGGTCTCGGGCCTACCTATACCTGAATCGCGGCCCGGCCCGGGTCCATCACTATCAGTCGCCACCCAATGGTCCATTCGATCCTTCGGGTTCCTTTCCTCTCCCTTTCCTTTTGATGTCATTCCGGGGTTTGTCCACCGCTAGGTGCAAAAATGGCAAACAGAGGCACTTTTTGGGATGTGCACAACTCTTTATCAAGGAGTTTGGTATCATAAAGGGTCGATCACTTTCTTGGACATATTTCCCAAGGCACCCCTCTGGATGAGCTCGGCGATCGTCATTTTCTAAGTGTTGCACTCTTTGGCGGTGTGGCCCCTTCGTTTGTGATAATTTCAGTAAACGTCTTTGTTTTGGCCATATGTTTGTTTCCTTGATCTTATTGTGGGGGCATCGGCTTCAGGTCTTGAACTTCCTCACAAATTTGGGCAATTGGAATCGGAAATGGGTTAAATCTTGGTTGGGATGCTCGGCCCTAATCGGTCGTTGTCCTTGGGTTTGAAAGTGCATAGGTCTAAGTCTGTCAATAGGTTGGGTTTAATCCTAAACCCAACAAAGATCTGCTTCTTCAATCTTCATAATGGTTATGGATCTATATTTTATTCCGTTTACCCGGATTCGGTCCGCTATATTATATTATAAGCAGGTCGAGTACGGTTACATGTGATTCTAACTCATTAAGGAGACATACTTGCTACCCGCTAGAAATATCCATAATCCTAATGGGAAATTACCCTAAATAGGACTAAAAACATTTGAAAATTCCAAAATAAGACTCATGTTTTTATTCCCAAAATAGGAGGGCCATCCCTCATGTTACCCTGTGTAAGGTAAAAGAATGGGGTAAAGCAAAAAAGCATAATCAATACAAGAATCATCATCATCACCATCGTGTCTAAAGCAAACAAAGTATTGGCTTCTTCATTCCAATGTGGAAGTATGCTAGAGAATGCAAATCTCAACACAATACACATTATGTACTGTATTTTGTACAGAAATACAAACCCCAAGAACAAATATATGACCACAAAAGTCAGGAAATCTCCTAAACAATTCTTTCTTTCATATGAAGCTGACTAAAAAAACCAATTCTGTTAAATGACAAGGAGTGATGATAATAAATAGTACAAAGCAGCGATGGATGACAGAAGTATCCAGCAGCAGTTGCAGAAAAAAGTAACTTGTTTCTGCTTCATTTGCGCTGCACAATATGATTTTCAGTCAGGTACTCGACAAATTCATCAATCAGATAAGGCCAGGCTCCGTCAGCATCGTAGTTTGTTAACAAAGGCTCCACACTCTGCATGTCATTCAACATCAACATCAACATCAGTCAGGTGACCCATTCATAGACACGCTATAGTGAAGAAAGAAAAAATTGTCCAAATTGCTTACTCTAGCAAATTCAAGTAGTTGAGCCCATGTATCACGTGAGATGGCTTTGTTATGGTGAGCCTGAGTTGATAAATGCACCAAACCGTTCCATTATTTACATTAAAAAAATAAATGATTTCCTGGAAAGCAGATTAGTGAATTTGCAAAAATAACAAACTCATAGTACAGGATGACAATTTAAGGTCACCTGTAGGAACTGGCACCAGTGTTCAACCAGAGGCCAATCCTTTTCTGCAAATAGCAGCTGCCACATTCCAATTGCTGTATCCAATGCTAAGGATTTCTGGCCCTGCAATTATTTATCAAAAAATCTATATGTGCATCTCATATTGATCATCCTTTACTACCAAACCATGAAACAGAGATGATAGAACTGACCGGCAGATTTGCAAAAAAAGGTACTATATAGTACATAGTGACACTAGTATGCCTAGCAGGGAGGGTATTTAATGTCTCATCACCACCTTAATCTAACTGTGTTCAGATTGATGACATGCAATTTGCCAATTTCCAATGTCAATAAATTGTATGAAAATGGTATGTTGTGTAAATTAATGCCAAAAGACATAGCCACAATGTTTTATGCCAAGCATCCTTCATGTTACTAGTCACAACCTTCTTACATAGTAATGTTGACATGAAATTCCAAACCCTTCATCATTATCATCATTCCAGATTTTTCCTCTTTGCAACAAAAAGTAATAATTGGGTTGCACCTGTCAGACGAACTGATGGGGAGATGAGGCAAGGAGGAGAGGGAGAGGACGAGCTAGATAGACATGGATTAGACTGGTCAAGAATGACATGATAATTTTTGGGTTAGATGAGAGAATGACCTTGAAGAGAGATGAAGTGGAGGGAGAATATATCTGTGGAGAACTAATCTGATTTTCTGTCTCCCTATTTCTCTATTAATTGTTTGACTCTGATGTGATATGTCGATTCATGTTAGCCAACCCAAAACACTGGGATTAGGGTTTGAGTGTTGTTGCATCAAAAAATAATAATATGGCGAGTTACTGATGAGTTGATAGAATCTTGTCCCATCACAAAATTCATATTGTGCACACGAAAGAGTGATAAAGATTAGTTAGCCAGTTATACTTGCTCAAAAACAGCTCCACTTTTGGTTGCTAGTATATTGTGGCTGCAAGGCACACACCTGCTAGTATCAAGATTTTTTTTACTCTGTTTTTTTGGAGAAAAATAGTGTTTATCAACAGATTTACCTTCTCCTTTGCCCAGCCGAAAGCAAAGTTATAGATCTCACGAAACTTGTCTGAACCAAATACAGTAAAAAAGAATAATCAGAACAGCAAGGTATTAATAATACATTAATACTCCATATCATAGTAGTCATAATCCAGGTTGGGTAGGGAGTGCTAACATATTATATAAAGAATAAGTATTGCTAATCTGATTAGGTCACCAATTCAAACTGTTTGTAGACAGCCCTCCACGCTGTGCTCGGTTAGGGTAGTGTGAAGCTGTGAACAGAAACCTCACCAATCACCCAGCGTCGGTTAAGGTTGCAAGAATTTGCCTCTGGTTTATTTTGAAAAATAGGCTATGCAGACTAGAAACGAAGTATAGCATAAACTAAACATCCGTGCTTACCTAGAATCTAAGCAAATGTATAAGAAAGCAGGAAGGAGAGAACACAAATGAATTAACAGGAAAATCATTAAACTATCAAGCATTATGAAAACGGGGATTTGCAAAACAATGTCAAGACCAAGTAAAGAGCTTCTTCAATTAGCGGTGAAACATTCTCAAAAAACGTACGCTCGTCTTTCAACTCATCTCGCATGAAGGGTATTTTTTCTCTCAACTTGTCGATTGAATCTACTCTGCCATTATAATTGAGGTCAAAAGTCAGTAGCTGAATATTTGATAGATACAGAGCAAGCATATTAAAATTTTCAAATGAGTGTGCACCATACATACCCAAGAGATTGTAATCCACTAATAAATTCCTGCTTTGAAAATTCACACATAGTTGCAGCCCTCATGTGCCATGATACTACCAGCTGCGGTCAAGGAAAATTTCATGTCATTCAAAGATCATAAATATGGTGTAGAGTGGGGTGGTGAAACAATGTCACATTCAAAAGATGAGTGTGGCAAAGATGTGTATGTTGCATTGGATGTGAGGACATACTAGAAAAGATCGAATGAAGAATGAGATAATCAGACAAAAGGTGGGAGTAGCACCTATTAAAAGATAAATTGCAAGAGTCTCAATTGCGGTGGTTTGATCATGTGCATAAAAGATCTAGTGATGCACCTGCTAGATGAGTTGAGCGGTGGGGAGAAGAGGCGGGGAGGAGAGGGAGAGGAATACCCAAACAGACTTGAATTAGAGGAATCAGAACTGATATGCTTCTTCATGGATTCGATGAGAATATGACTTTAGAGAGAGCAAAGTGGAGAGCGCATATTTGTGTGGACCATTGATCTATTCTCTCTCTCTCTCTCTATCTTTTACCTTTTATCTTCTTTATCTTTCTATTTTCTTATACCCCACCGTAGGTGGGAGCCTTTGCGGCACTGGGGTAATGATGATGATCTTTCTATTTTCTTATGTTATTTTTATCTTTTATCTTTCTTATGTTCTTATGTTATTTTTTATCTTATATTTATCTTTATCTTATCCATTTTATTTTACCATATCTTTTTATTTTTCTTATCTTTCTTCTTTTTTTTTTGCCCTGATATCATGAATCGATTAATGTTAGCCAACCCCAAAATCTTTTGGGAATAAGGCTTGGATGTTGTTGTATCCAAAGATCATAAGTAACCGATAACCTATAAACTGCATGAAAAATTGAAAACACATCCACTTAGTATAAAAAGCATAAATTAGGAAGTAGATCCGTATGTATTTAGCTCAATATTCATTATGTATGTAAATAGGCAGCACAATCGTATCTTATATTATATCATAATTCAACTATAGTAGCTTCAGACGATGATGGAAAGAAAAAAAATGGGATGGATGAAAATATCTTTTGAAACAATGTCATATTTAAAAGATTGGTGTTGGCAGACATGTGCATGTTGTGTTAGATGTGTGTAGATACTACAAAAGACCACTTGAGGAATGAGACAATCAGATAAAAAATGAGAGTAACAATTGTTAGAACATTATTTATTGTGTTCATTTTAATTGTGTTTATCTTTGTTAATTAGATTTGTTAGATGGTTGAAACTGGGATTTATCAACAACTATTGAAAATAAGATGTGGGAATCTCGATTGCAATGGTTTGGTTATGTGTCTAGAAGACTGTGTGATACACCTGTTAGACGAGTTGGAGGTGTGGAGAAGAGACGGAGAGAAGAGGGAAAGGAAGTCCGAAAAGGAGTCAGGATTGATATGTTTCTTCTTGGGTTGGATGAGAGTCTTGACTTAGAAGAGAGCAAAGTGAATGGCAAATATTTGTGTGAAGGATTGCTCTATTTTTATCTTTTTTATCCTTTTATCTTCTTTATATTTTTTATCCTTTTAACTCTTTTTATTATATATATATATATATATATTCTTTCTATCATTTTTAACTTTATTTTATCCTTATCTTGTCTTGTCTTTTTATCTCTTTTTTCTTTTTAGATCTGATATCATGTATTAATTCATGTTAGCTGACCCCAAAATCTTTTGAGACTAAGACTTGGATGTTGTTGTGGATAAAAATAACTTTTAATATATAGTGAGCACACATACCATGACAATGTCTTGAGGGTCAACCTGTAAAAAAACAGTTGTCACATTGCCACAGTTACCAATAAATTTCGAATAGAAGAGCGACAAAGAGACATAAACTAAACTCAATAAATTCCCATACCCCCACCACACACACGAGCACGCAAACAAATTCCTAACCATGTAAAGGTACCTGAATATCATTGCAAAGGAGACTAATTCCATCAGCCATAATCATGTCAGAGTGTGGATCTGAAAAATAAGTCATTTAAAAAATGCAAGATGAGCTATAAGTGCATAAATGAACAACATTGGAATTTATCTTATGGTAATTAAACCCAAGTACCCAACCGCAGAGAAGATTCCATGAAACCATATCTCATTTACATTTAAAGCAGTGACAATTAGGCCAAAAGACAATGGGAAGAAGATCCTATGTTCAATTGAATGTGACAAGACGGTATCCTATAATTTTTTAAGCAGCCAAATAAGGAATCCTATAATGCATGAACATATGTAAACTGTTAAGTGCTTGGGTCAGAGACCTTGTCCAGGGATGGGAGTCTAAGAACGAGAAGATAGGTATGCCTCTCTGAAGGAATCTATGATTAAAAATAGAATAAATTAAATTCTTATGTTGGAATTAATTTGGTTCTGACGTGGTCAAGACATAACACAAATTAATTCTTCCAAAGGTGCTTTATTTAGTAATAATTATGACCTTTATATAGACTATTACAAGAGTCCTAATTGTAAGAGGAAACAACTGCTAACTAAGAGGTTCCCAAAAACTAACTGCTAATTAAGAGGTTACCTAAAACTGAAATACGAATAAAATAATAGAATCATAATCTCCATTTTGATCTGTATTACTTAAAGCATACAGATCAACCTGCAGCATGACTCTTCTTTAGTTGTTTAGCCACTTTGTTTTCTGATAGGTTTGGGCCCACTCTGTTGACGAGCTTGGTCTTGCAACCTGGTGCTAGCTCTGTCAACGGTGATATTGTGGGCCCCATAAAGCGTCTTTGAGAATACCCCCTAACCCTCATCAACTACGAGCTTGTCCTCAAGCTTGGATAGTGGAAATGCGACTTTGAAAGACTCCAAAGTTTCCTGTGTGGCTTCTTCAGCTAATTGTCCTTCACAGTGGACAAGTATCACTGGCGCACCATGATTAAGGCGCAGGCGAAGCATGGTCATTGGTTTCAAGGCTACTGGTTGGTATTTAAGCCGAGGTACAGTCCCCGTTTCTCGGGAAGAGGGGTCCTGGTGCTTCTTCAGGAGATAGACATGAAAGACGACATGAAGTTAAAGATCTGATAAGCTGCATTTCCAGCGCAAGAGATCACTGTAAATGGACCGTAGAATTTTGAAAGTAGTTTATGTGACGAGAACCGATAGGAAGTTGTCGGTAAAGATGGATTCACAGCCAAACCCAATCACCTAGTTCAAAGGAAACATCCATGTGGTGTTTGTCTTATGGGGATTTTACGCGTGCATGTGCCACAGCCAAGGTCAAATAGCTTCCATTCCACACCCTCAAATTTGGCCTTGCCCAGAGTATAGGAGATTAAATTCGGAAGTCTCTAGTCTCTACAATCGACTAGATGGAATGGAGTGTTGCCCAAACTGGTGTGGAGGTGTTGTAGCAGAATTCTGTTCACAGAATCCAACGAATCCACTCCCAGAGGCATTCACTTGTGAGACTACGTATATCATTTTCAAGGTGCAGTTGACTACCTCTATTTATCCATCTCTTTGGTTATGATAAATTGATACAACAATGATAACATCAACCCAGTGCCGCAAAGGCTTTCACCTACGGTGGGGTGAGGATTGAGGGGGGTCGGATGTACTAAAGTACAGACAATTTAGTGAGCGACTTTGCTTTATCACATCACATGCCCAGTCCAAAAAATAGTGAGTTTTTGGCTCCATTGGAAATGATGGAGATAACTTAGTACTGCACAAACGAAAAAGTTCAGCCAAAAGTGATTTACTAAAACCTTACCACGTTCTGAAATGATAGATTCGGGAAGGCTGTGCAAGCTGAAAACTTCAGCAAAGAATACAGTGGACACCGTAACAGCCGCATAGGGATGAGCAGGCGGTATAAAATGAGTAACTTTTGTGAGGCAACCCACCACCAACACTAAAATGACAGTTTTGCCCCGAACCTTTGGCAGCCCGTCAATGAAATCCATGGAGATGTCTGCCCAAGTTTATCATGGGACGAGCAATGGTTGAGATAATCCGGCTGGTAGTAAAGTTAACCATTTATGGCGTTGACATGTGAGACATTCCCCAACAAATTGGGTATCTGTGAGCTTCATCTTGGGCCAATAAAATTCACGATGTAAGCACTGTAGTGTCTTCTCTACACCCTCTTGGGTCATTTCATGAAACACCATGATCAAAGTGGGAATGACTGAAGAGGTATGGGATCTTGTGATGGAAATCGAAATACAGAAGACTATCCCGGTAGGTCCAGTCAATGTCAAGGATATCCGCTGTCAACTGGTCGCATAAGGACTTAAATCACTTAATCTCAGGTGAATTGGCCTGTTTAGTGTGTATGTCCTCGAGGATAGTTGCCAACGAATGGATACTACCGCTACGGTCATCAGAGGCTCATCCCGGCAAGATAAGCATCGGCAACCATATTAGAGTGCATCGGCTTGTATTTGACTCAGAAAGTGAACCTCATAAGTTTGCTTAATCAGTACTGTTGTAGTGATATTGTAAGGCGTTGTCCCAAAGATGTTTAAAGCTGGAAAGATTGGCTTTAATTAGAAAAAGATAAGGCCACCAATGGGTTTCTCACTTCGCAAGAGCAATTAGCTTGCGCTCATAAGTTGCGAGTTTTGAATGGTGAGCAGCCATTTTCGGATAAAATGTGCAATGGATGGCCAAAACCATCCAGATGCATCACTCTCCATCACAAACAACACAGGGATGGCTCGACACTGAGTGAAGAGCTAAGAGTGTCTTGGATGGAATTGTCATTAACAATTTCAATAAAAAAATAACTTTTTTCAAAGGTGGCCTAAGATCCACGAATCATCATAGTTAGAGCATAGATCCTTTTCGCGGCTTATGGTAGTTTAGGCGCGGGAGATTTTTTTAAAGCTAATGTGGATTGCCATATGTTTAGGGTTAGTTCCGACAAACTGAATGTGGCTAGCTGAGGGTACTGCCCATATAGAAGCATAGGAGTGAGGCGATACTTCTCAGAGTGTGGGATTTTGGTACTCGACCTCCATGCATATTGTGTCACGTAATCTGACTGTGAAGACCATAACTAGGATCTATTGGATTTTGGTCATGTTGTATGTGGTTGATTTAGCGATGGCAGTCGAAACTCGGCGAGCTCGAGGAAAAATATGTCGTCAATTTTTTATTTGTACTGTGTTGGAAAAGGCCACCATTGCTATTGGTAATTCAGCAAGCTTAGCCACGTAATCTCACATATCGGCCAGTAGGTATCCGTCATCAAGCTGGCGCTGGTCGATACACTCAATCATATGTTTTAGTGATTCGGCTGCTGCTGCATTGGTACTCATCCTCCTCGAAGTTGATACCAAACTGTTAAGTGCTTGCATCAAAGACCTCGTCCGGGGATGAGAATGAGTCTGGTAACGAGAAGATAGATATCCATATTGGAAGAGATATATGATTAACAACAAACTAAATTAAATTCTTATGTTAGAATTGATTTGGTCCGACCCCAAAATCTTTTGGGATTAAGGCATGGATGTTGTTGTTGTTGGAATTAATTTGGTGCCCAACATGGTCACGACATGACAGAAACTTATTCTTTCAAAGGTGTTTTATTCAATAATAATTATGGCCATTGACTATTACAAAAGTCCTAATTGTAAGAGGAAACAACGGCTAATTAAGAAGTTGCCCAAAACAAACTGTTAATTACGAAGCTGCTGAAAAACAAACTGCTAATTAAGAAGTTGCCTAAAACCGAAATACGAATATAATAGTCCCCTCATTTTATTAAGACTCAATCCCCTCACGATAGCCGTCCAATTTGGAATGGTTGTATAGGAAATTACAGTTATACCCTTATTTTATTTTTCTCAGGCATACCCTTCTTTAAATTTTTCCCAACTATATGTTACTATTTCATTCTTGCACGTAATATCTCTCCAATACTGCTCTTCATGTCCTTCCCTCCTTTCTTATGTCCGCCTTCCAAAAGGCGACAGTTGAAGATGGCGCCAAGTTCAGCAACATGCACACAGACGAAAGGTGGAGCTTATTAAATCAAGGTTTTTAACCTTCAAACTCAAAACTCTTCTTTATTAAATTTAGCCACTTTATTTTCAGATGGGTTTGGGCACACTATCTGCTGACGAGCTCAGTACTTCAACCTGGGGTTGGCTCTGCCGATGGGGTATTGCTAACCCCAGCTTATGTAACATATATACATTAAGCCACACACACAAAATACAACTGCAAATTCTTACCCTTGTATCTATTGTAAAGCTCCTCTAACCGTCTTTTGTCTGCCGAGAATTTCACCTGGGGCTGGCTATAGAACAAATCTAATGCTCCATCAACGCTCCACTCACTGGTCTTAAGGTACTGATGAGCTATCTTTTCACTATAAATAAAAAAAGAGAACATGTACTTGAGGCAGAGAGGCAAACTTTTAATTTGAATTAATATGAGAATATGAAATTAGAAGATAAACTAAAAACTACAAGGAAACAAATTTCCTCAACAGTTAAGCTATGCTTAAGCTCAGTGGGAGGGAAGGGGGAGATTGATGAGGATTTGTTTTTAATGTTTTGCTTTATGTGAGAAAATACTAGTTAAGTCAAATTTGATTAAATCATTTAATTCTTTTATATGATATAAATGATACAAATATATAAATATAATGAGTTTTATTGAGTTCAAACCAATTTTTTGTTTTTACCCTATTTTCTTTCTTACTAGATATCATTTTTCCACACTGGCATTTTTTAGGGTTCTAATTGGACCGTTGAAGTAGTTTTAGCTAAGCAAAAATAGAACCACGCGTGTGCATCTATAAGTGGGATAAAATAAGGCAAATTGAAGTATGGAACAGTTTGGAAGTTAACAACCATGCATCTACAAATGGGAGACAGGGGGGGGGGCAAACTTGGAGAGTAGTTATGAAAATGAATGGTGTAATATACCTGGTCCCGGTTATTGTCATGAATTGCTGAAGTTTGTCCCGGTGTCCTCTGCCCAGCCTATTCTGCTTATCAGTAAAAATAGGATAAGAACACTTGCCACAGATTCTCAAGAACCCCAATAATTAAACCAAATATAGAGCCATTATATGCAAAAAAATTGAAATAGAACGGATAAAGGGACCGTATAACAAGATAAGGCAACACGCTGGATGAAGCAGCATAAATTTTGAAACATAGCCAAGGCACTACACTTCCACACTGGTAAAGGATAACAAACCATTGACAAACCAAAGAGCATGAACAACACAGGAAGTAGGTCTCGAAAGATGGAGTCTTTGCGTCAGACAGGCAGAAAAAATTAGTTGAGGGTTAAAATTAATGAGTAAGAGCAGAACAGTAATTTGCTTATAGCCAAGGCATAGCAAAAACTGAATCATGATTTTTTTAGTGAATAACTGAATCATGTTAAAGATTAAAACTCGAAGATAACAATGAAAGCAGCCGGGAAATAAATGAGAACCAACCATTTTGGTGAACAGACTTGCTGAAGAAACCCTAAATCGGAGAAAAATTGACTGAATATATATGACTCTTCGAAGAGTTCTCAGATTCTGATCTCGGGAGAGTCGGGGCAGAAGTGAGATGCGCAATGCAAAAGTGATGAGAACTCCCCAATAGTGTGCCTCGCCGATGGAGATAGCACTATTCCTGGGACTACAATGTTTGAAAGAAACATATAGGACTATTTAGGGTGTATTTGCAAAAGTTTCTTCTACTTTTAAAAAAAGTGATTTTTTAAATGAAATAGAGAGAAGTGATTAAATAAAAGTTGATAGTATTTGAGAAAAAAGTGATTTTGAAAAGTAAAAGTGGGTAGTGTTTGGGAAAATAAGTGTTTTTTAAAAGCCAAAAGCTGAAAAGTGATTTTTTAAAAGCAGTTACAAACCAACCCTTAGTTCATTAATTCTTAAAAAAAGGACTATTTGGTTCATACTTATCTGCCCCCAATACAACCCATAAGAATTAAGATCAAGAGCGAATTTGACTTTGCCCGCATTTTTTTAATGATATTGAACTTTGGACTTCATTTTGAAAAAACTTTGATTTTGCACCCTAATACACAACATTTTGTGGAAAAGATTTTTGAATGGGGTGCGAAATCAAAGAATTTTTAAGTGGAATGGGCGGCAAAATCAAAGTTTTTTTAAAATGGGATGCAAAGTACAATATCACCAAAAAAATGTGGTGCAAATCCAAATTCCCCCTAAGGTCAAACTAAAACGTTATAAAATACACAGAGATATAAAATAAAATATATAAAGATCAATCATTTATTAGATCACACCATTAAATTTATTTCCAATTAAAACATTCTAAAACAAAATATTTTTGGGAAAAGTACGGAAAAGATACTTGCGGTTGGGCCTGTTTTCAGATAGGGTCATGTGTTTCGTTGTTTATCAAAGTGGTTCATGTGTTTGAATTTCGTTATCACAAGAGGGTCACGCCGTTAAAAACGTCTGAAAAAAACCGTTAAAAATAACTTCGATGTTCAAAAGTGCCCGGAAAACTATAAGCAAAATACTGAAAGGTGCGCCTCGTCAAGATGACCTCCGAACCACCTTCGCCTTGGATTTTTCATATCTGTTTGAATTATTTTTTTTAAAAATGATTTCGTTAATATCACTTTTCCTGTGGACTTTCCGATGACAGGGGTGGCTAAAAACAAAAAAACAAAAGATGGCCTAGCGATCGTCTTATTGAGGCTCACCTTCCGGTTTTTTTCTTTTAATTTTCCGGACACTTTTGAAAATCGGAGTTACTTTTAACGGTCTTTTTCAGACGTTTTTAACGGTGTGACCCTCTTGTGATAACGGCACTCAAACACATGAACCACTTTGATAAACAATGAAACACATGACCCTATCTGAAAATGAGCTCAACCGCAGGTACCTTTTCCGTACTTTTCCCAATATTTTTTCAAAAACAATTAGTCTAACAAAATGTAATTATAAAAATGTAATTAGTAATTAGTATGGTATGATGTTATACGAAGTATTACTTGATGTAAAAATGAACATAAATTATTATGATTAAATTATCATAATGGTCAGTACACATAAGATGTCATATATTTTGTGAACCGTCTTTATTGTATTCACAAGTATGTAATTATTTCTTGATACTTGAAATTCAATACTTAATTTTCACCATGCTTATTAGTCTTATATTTCAGTATTCTATTAAACACTTAACTTTTGATTGTACTTCAGTTTTCTATTAAACACTTGACTTTTGATTTTGTGAACTGAATTATTTAAAAATCACAATAAGTAAGGTTGCAATTGTTTTTTTAAAACAAATAACTTAATTATTAATAAAATTGAGGACCACATACAAATTCGCCATAACAAATAAGGCTACACTGGATGAGACTCAGAGCTGGAATCGCGCTTACTTGAGGACCATCTCGCTAACCCCGCAATTTGGTAGACTCCATACATAGCAATGTTGTACCTGTTACTAGAAGGAGAATAAAAAGACAAAACAGAGTTCGGAACTGATGAAGAAACAGAACAGTAACATAATCCAGTTTGACCAGCCACTAGCAAGGGAGTAGTGGTTTGACCAGCCACCACTAAAGAAAAAGGATCAACATCCACCTCTTCAGTGCTCGCAAGTTTGCCCTTTTGTTGAACCATCAAACTCTTCGCATCTCCAAGAGTTTCATTAACCACCTGCCCGTTTTTGGGATTGTTAACACATACCTCAGTATTGACCTGTGTATCCACTCCAATATCTGACTCAATCACTCTGCTCTTCCAGGGCTCTTCCACTATATATTTGTCTATCTCCTCAATGCCTGCCCTATTCTTTTCCAAAACCTTCTCAACCTCTTCCTCACGTAAGCTCGTTCCGCTGCTGTTAGGGATCAACCACTTATTACCCTAATGCACTCCTCCTCTTCTAATATCTGCACGCATCCAAGCCCCATATGGTTTCTCTCCAATCCAGGGTCCAGAGTGAGTATTAGATGGACAACAACGATCAACATGTCCTAAGATTTCACAAATAAAGCAGAACTTTGGAAGATGTTCGTACTTGAACTATGCCCAAAACCAATTACCCCCTTCCTTCCTTATCTATAGTCTACGAACTAGTGCTTTCTTGATATTCATAGCCACCCGGATCCGCAAGATGGATCTCCAGGCCAAGCACTCGGATCCGTAAGGTTGCAATTGTTTTCTGCCTAAAGTTACTATATAGGTCATTTTGAAATTGCTCTCGTGATTGTATTGCAAGCAATTGGCGAACGATTTTGAGTAATCTTTACTATGTTTTTTCAAAGGGGGCTTAAATTAATAAAATAGCATTTAACAGGGGTACAGGATAACAAAAGGACCACATGTAACCATCCGCCCTTGGCCGAGACTCTGAGTTAATCACCTTTGACAAATCAATGTAACTCGCTAGACCTAATTTGGGCAACATAAAGCCAATGATGATTACCGTAGACCTCTCGTCCCCCAAACCTAATGCGAGAGTCTTATAGCAAAGGAAAAAATAAAAGTAAAACAGAACAGTCTGACCATGGAAATTAAATAGCAAGCAAATAATAAAATTAAAATACTGCTTCCAAACCCTAAACTCTCTTGCACTCCATGACGACAGTTCAAGAGAGGGACGATCCAACAGTACTGAAGCATCTTCCGCTCCTTGCCTCCGATCCAGATCTGATCTAGCCCCTAGCCCCACGCTTCGTCCATGACCTTTTGATCTCAACCATGAACGACATCCTCGAACCTCTCCACCTGGTGCTAGGGATACGCAACCTTTGGCCGCCATATAGGCGCTGCGATCTGTCGAAATAGAGAGTCTCACGGAAGGCGGACGAAAGCCGCACAACAAAGCCGCACTTCGTCGAAGACGAAAGCGTAAAAAAACAACCCCTAACCCTATGGGAGACGTAAGCCTCTGATTCAAAAATTACTTCATGAACATTTAGCTAATAACTAAGACAAGAAAAGTGAAGAAGCAGACGTTGGAGCCTGGAGCGCCGCAACCGAGTTCACGCGCCGCCGCAACGCTGTTATATTAATCTTTACTAGTTAAAAGCAAATAAATTTTGTTATGAATATAATTACTTCACTGGTTAGCAAGAGTTGATTATTAAAACATATTTTTAAAAGGTCTTGATCAACATATGTATACTTTATGACACATGTTTTAAAAACATGGATTAAGTTTAAAACATCAATTATAACTTTGAAGGACTTCACACCTCACTACCAACTCCCACCCCATCCCCAAAATCCTACCCTCTATCCCATCCATGACGAGGGTGGGGCTAGGGAGACCGGGTGTACGTGGGTCGGGTTAATCCGATGAACTCGTATCTTAACCTATCTTAATAAAGGCCAGTTTTCTTATTAAATGCTTATTACTTCTTCATAGTTAGGCTTTAAGTTGTTGTACCATGTGCTGCTAGAGTATCCCATATAACAACCCTCCCCCGATTTACATTCTTCACCGTCCAGTTTCATAGTTGACGGCGTTAAATTTATTTATCCACCGTCAAACCAAGTATATCCGACAAACTATTGTGAGTGTTATCTATTGTTTCAACTTTTCACCTGCATGAGCTTTTAATTTTTCTCCAAGGCTCGTTTCCCCTGTCAGTGCATCTCATGGACACTTCACTCCCGTTCAAGAAAATGTAGCGTCTCTTAGGCTTTGTTTGCAACCACTTGTGCTTAAATAAAAGCACTTTTTGGGAAAAAGTGATTAGTAGTAAAAGTTGGTAGTGTTTGGTAAAATAATTGCTTTTTGTGTAATAGAAAAAGTAAAAAGTAGATTTTACACGGAAGCCGAGAAAATAAAAGTTGGTAGTGTTTGGTAAAATAAGTGTTTTTTTCTTAAAAAAAAGCCAAAATCACTTTTCTTAAGTGATTGCAAACAAGCCCTTAGCAACTTAGTTTTACATTTAATTGGCTTTTAACCTATCTCTATGAAAAATATAAGATATATTGGAATTCAACTTCCATTTATCCTCTTCAATTCTCACGATTGTTGATCAGCAATCTCTGAGGTATATTATAGTACGTATTATGCTATTGTGTACTATTTAGGTATTAATTTTCTTTGTGCCTTCTCCTTTGTTTAATGGCTCCAGGATTACATTTTTAATATTTTAAAAGTAGTGCAATGTTTGTGCTCTACGTAGGTAAGTTTGGGATTATTCTTTGTGTTTTTAATCTATAAAAGCAAAAAACTCTCACATTGAATGTGTTCTGCTGCATTTTTTATGCATGCTTTATATTAATTAAGACTCGACTATGCTTAAATGGTCTTCACAAGTTCATATGAAAGGAAACTAAAGGCATATCAGGTGTTTGTTAAAATGCCAAGGTTATTTCATTGCACTTGCCTTCAAGTACAATTTTTTAAGGTAGATTCTATGTATGGTACCCATAATGTACCATATCTTTGTCCACATGGACCAATCAAAATGTTGCAGTTGAATTATTTAAGTCTAAATTAAAAATGATATGCCTATTTGGACCAATCAAATGAGTGGTAGGTACGGTACCCCATTTTTTAAATGGGTACCGGAGTTCTCACTGTTTTTTAATCTAACACATCAATTTTTACTTCTCCTAAAGATTGAGTTCGCTCAAGCTTACCAGCTTAGAATGATATATATGTGTTGTTTTCAATGACATGCAGCCATATTGACATGTTTTCAGC